CCCATTCCCGATATTCCTATTCCCGATACAATCCCCAATATTCCCAATATTCCCAATATTCCCAATATTCCTGACACAATTCCCGATACAATTCCCAATGTTCCCATTCCCAATATTCCCGATACAATTCCCGATATTCCCAATATTCCCAATATTCCTGATATTGCCAATGTTCCCATTCCCGATATTCCCAATACAATTCCCAATGTTCCCATTCCCAATATTCCCGATATTCCCAATATTCCTGATATTCCCAATGTTCCCATTCCCAACATTCCCAATGACATTCCCGGTGTCATTCCCGCCATTCCCGATACAATTCCCGGTACAATTCCCGGTGTCATTCCCGATGTCATTCCCAATACAATTCCCGCCATTCCCGATGTCATTCCCAGTACAATTCCCGCCATTCCCGGTGTCATTCCCGGTGCCATTCCCGACATAATTCCCGGTACAATTCCCGCCATTCCCGGTGCCATTCCCGGTACAATTCCCGCCATTCCCGATGTCATTCCCAGTACAATTCCCGCCATTCCCGGTGTCATTCCCGGTGCCATTCCCGACATAATTCCCGGTACAATTCCCGCCATTCCCGGTGCCATTCCCGGTACAATTCCCGCCATTCCCGATGTCATTCCCAGTACAATTCCCGCCATTCCCGGTGTCATTCCCGGTGCCATTCCCGACATAATTCCCGGTACAATTCCCGCCATTCCCGGTGCCATTCCCGGTACAATTCCCGCCATTCCCGATGTCATTCCCAGTACAATTCCCGCCATTCCCGGTGTCATTCCCGGTGCCATTCCCGACATAATTCCCGGTACAATTCCCGCCATTCCCGGTGCCATTCCCGGTACAATTCCCGCCATTCCCGATGTCATTCCCAGTACAATTCCCGCCATTCCCGGTGTCATTCCCGGTGCCATTCCCGACATAATTCCCGGTACAATTCCCGCCATTCCCGGTGCCATTCCCGGTACAATTCCCGCCATTCCCGATGTCATTCCCAGTACAATTCCCGCCATTCCCGGTGTCATTCCCGGTGCCATTCCCGACATAATTCCCGGTACAATTCCCGCCATTCCCGGTGCCATTCCCGGTACAATTCCCGCCATTCCCGATGTCATTCCCAGTACAATTCCCGCCATTCCCGGTGTCATTCCCGGTGCCATTCCCGACATAATTCCCGGTACAATTCCCGCCATTCCCGGTGCCATTCCCGGTACAATTCCCGCCATTCCCGATGTCATTCCCAATACAATTCCCGCCATTCCCAATACAATTCCCGCTATTCCCGATGTCATTCCCGGTACGATTCCCGGTGCCGTTCCCGGTGCCGTTCCCGGTGTCACTCACGGATCTGGAGGCCGTTGCCAGGGTTTTGCCGCCGCTCCCGTAGCACGTCAGCCTCACCATGAACATCCCGAGCTCGCGATTCACCGGAGACTCCGGCAGCTCCAGCTCCACAGAGATCCGGTACAGCTGTCCGTACAGCAACACCTGCGCATTCCCAGAGAATTCCCAAATTCCCAGAGAATTCCCAAATTCCCAAAGAATTCCCAAAGAATTCCCAAAAAATTCCCAAAGAATTCCCAAAGAATTCCCCAAAAATTCCCAAAGAATTCCCAAAAAATTCCCAAAGAATTCCCAAAGAATTCCCAAAAAATTCCCAAAGAATTCCCAAAAAAATCCCTAAAAATTCCCAGATTCCCAAAAAATTCCCAAAGAATTCCCAAATAAATCCCAAATTCCCAAATAAATCCCAGATTCCCAAATAATTCCCCAAATTCCCAAAAAATTCCCAAATCATTCCCAAAGCATTCCCAATTTTTTTTGACATTTTGACCCTGAATGTCCCAAATTTTTGATTCCCGCCATTCCCGATGTCATTCCCAATTTTAGGATATTTTCACTCCACATCCCAAAATTTTTTAGGATATTTTGACCCCAAATACCCCAAATTTTTTAGGATATTTTTGCCCCCAAATCCCCAATTGTTTTGGATATTTTTGCCCCAAATCCCCCAAATTTTTTAGGATATTTTCACTCCACATCCCAAAATTTTTTAGGATATTTTGACCCCAAATTTTTTAGGATATTTTTGCCCCCAAATCCCCAATTTTTTTGGATATTTTTGCCCCAAATCCCCAAAATTTTTGGGATATTTTTTCCCCCAAATCCCAAAATTTTTGGGATAAAATCCCCAAATTTTTGGGATATTTTGGCCCCTCCTCCCCCATTTTTTTGGGGCCATTTCCGGGGTCCCCCCCAGCCCCGGGAATTTGGGGTTTCCGGAACCTTCTCGCGGTGCTCCCCCAGCAGGGAGACGTTGGCCGAGGGGAAGGAGCAGAGCTCGGGGCCGGGGCGCTCGCAGTCCGACCTGGGGGGGCCGAAATCGGGGTCAGGGCAGCGAAATTTGGGTCTGAAACCCCCAAAAAACCCCAAAAACCCCCCCAAAATACCCAAAAAAACTCCAAAAACTCCCAAAAAACCTCCAAAAACTCCCAAAAAAGCCCAAAAGACTCCCAAAAACCCCCCAAAAAAACCCAAAACCTCCAAAAACCCCCAAAAAACCCCAAAAGACTCCCAAAAACCCCCAAAACCTCCAAAAACCCCCCAAAATCCCCCCCAAAATCCAAAAAAAACCCTAAAAAAACCCCAAAAACTCCTAAAAACCCCAAAAAAACCCAAAAAACCCCAAAAACCCCCCAAATACTCCCAAAACCCCAAAAAACCCCAAAAAACCTCCAAAAACTCCCAAAACCCCCCCCAGAAGACTCCCAAAAACCCCAAAAAACCCCAAAACCTCCAAAAACCCCCCAAAATCCCCCCAAAAATAAAAAAAACCCTAAAAAACCCCAAAAACTCCCCAAAACCCCAAAAAACCCAAAAACCTCCAAAAAACCTCCAAAAACCCCAAAAAAACCCCAAAAGACTCCCAAAAACCCCCAAAAAACCCCAAAACCTCCAAAAACCCCACGAAATCCCCCCAAAAATCCCCAAAAAACCCTAAAAAACCTCCAAAAACCCCCCAAAAAACCCCAAAAAACCTCCAAAAACCTCCAAAAACTCCCAAAAAAGCCCAAAAAAAACCCCAAAACCTCCAAAAACCAAAAAAAACTCCAAAAACCTCCAAAAACCCCAAAACCTCCAAAAACCCCCCAAAAATCCCAAAAAAAACCCTTAAAAAACCCCCAAAAGACTCCCAAAAACCCCAAAAAACCCCAAAACCACCCCAAAAACCCCCAAAACACCAAAACCCCCCAAAACCACCCAAAAACCCGAAAAAAACACCAAAAACACCAAAAAAACCCCAAAAATCCCCCAAACCCCCAAAAAACTCCCCAAAAACCCAAAAAAAGCCAAAAAAAACCCAAAACCCCCCCAGAAAACCCCAAAATCCCCCAAAACCCCCCAAGAATTCTCGGGGATCCCAAAGAGCCCCAAAACCCCTCCCGGACACACCTGAACCCCCCAAAACCCCTGCTGGACACACCTGGACACACCTGAACCCCCCAAAACCCCTGCTGGACACATCTGGACACACCTGGACCCCCCCAGGTTCACCTGGACAGACCTGGGCACACCTGGACACACCTGCGGGTGCCTAAATCTACCCCAGGTTCACCTGGGCACACCTGAACCCCCCAAAACCCCTGCTGGACACATCTGGACACACCTGGACCCCCCCAGGTTCACCTGGACAGACCTGGGCACACCTGGACACACCTGCGGGTGCCTAAATCTACCCCAGGTTCACCTGGGCACACCTGAACCCCCCAAAACCCCTGCTGGACACATCTGGACACACCTGGACCCCCCCAGGTTCACCTGGACAGACCTGGGCACACCTGGACACACCTGAGGGTGCCTAAATCTACCCCAGGTTCACCTGG